TAAAAGGAAGAGTGGCTTGCTTAAAAAAAGATGATGGTGGTTTTCCGGTGAATGTGAAAACTACTACTTGACTACAGAAATAAGCAGTCCCGTCCGGAGCTCACCTACCGGGTCTCTAAACTTAGACGGTTGTTCTGTCTCAACAGCTCAGCTCGTCTGGGACATACTTTACCTTATTAGGCAATCGGGCCCTGGAGAGAAGGGAAAGCAAAACAGGCCTCGGCTTTTACCTAAAAGGAGAACAGCGAAGACACTACCCCGCGGCGGGCGCAGACAGACCTGCTGGGCGCCTGCCAGCAGATGAAGGGGCTTCACAAGGCTGGGTGACAAGGCAGAGTCCTGCCTGACGGGGGAGAGCCCCCCCCAGAGCACCTGAGCAAGGCTGAGGAGATTCGAGCAAACAGGAGGGGAGGCTACCACCTGCTGCAAGCAAGCAGGGGTGGCGTGTGTGTGTGCATGTGAGTGTATGCAAAGACGAGCGGGAAGGCGGGCGGACGCAGGAGCGGGAGGGTGACCGGCAGAGCCTGGGGGCTGCTGAGGACACGGCAGGCATGGGGACCCAGGGCACCCCGAGCTCGCCTTCCTCCCGGCTCCTCTGGCTCTCCCACGCCTGGCATTCCCTGTAAGGTTAGTTCTCAAAACCCATCAGGTCCACTTTCAGAGCTCAGGCACATGCTGGAGCGGGGCTACTTCTCTGACTCCGAAAAACCTACCCTTTACGGATAAGTTAACAACCAACCTCAAAATCAGAGCATTCTCAGGTCAGTAAGGGTATTCCAAGATTTGGAAAATAGTCTGAATGGACATGGCTCATCTCTAACTATTTCAGTGTATTATGTGGTTCTTATCGAACGACTCTAAGAGGTCGACACTATCATCTACCCTGTTTACAGATGAGGAAATGAAGCGTCTCCTGCAGAGCGGCCGGGCAGCTGAGCCAGGCCTGCGCGCCTCCCGCCGTGACAGTGAGCCACGACACACGCTGGGCGCACACTCAGGTATAGAGCCCGGACACAGCTGTGCGTGCTCCCCCTGGGGCTTGCTGAACCCCGGAGCTCCAGGGGTTCGGACTCAGCGTTTTCACTGCTGGGACCCGCTCCAACCCCTGGCCAGGGAACTAAGATCCTACAAGCCGTGCAGTGAGGCCAATAAGGAAAACGAGCAGTTTAAAGCTTCCTTTGGTTCTAAAATCCCAAGCCTGTGACTGTCCTTTTAGACTGACCGAAGCTCCAACTCACAAAGCCATAAGGACCGCTGCATACCACGCGGGGTGTGGCCGACATCCTGTGACGGCTGTAAGACTGTTAGACAAGGGGGACTCTGCTGAGGAGCTGGCTGTCTGCAGGCAGTCTCAGAAGCTGGCTCAGCTCTGGCTCCCGCTGCCCGGCCCGACTTCACTCAGCGTTACGACGTCTTTGAGTATTCTCCATTTCCCTTAAGGAGGGGCTCTCTTTGGAAAGCTTATTTCTGGGCGCTCTTCTGTATGAAACTCTGATTTAGCCCTCTGATGGCTAGAATGACACTTGTTGTTCAGTTACTAAGTTGTGTCCAACTCTGTGCAACCACATGGACTGCAGCGCGCCAGGCTTCCTTGTCCATGACATTCCCAGCTGTCAAAGACCTATAGAGTCCGGAAAGAGGCCGCGTCTCCTCAGAAGCCATCAGGGGAGCCCCAAGAGCCGGCTCTGCACGACCACAGGGCTTTCCCACGGGGACGCCCCCACACCAGCTGAGAACTGGAGACAAGGTGACCCTGGCCCCCGCCGGCCCACAGCGGGCACCTCACGTGCTTGTTCCACGAGTGGAGGAGGGGCTACAGAAGACAAGGGACAGGAGGGGAGACGCATCCAGTGGCTTCAGGTATAAGAGACGTTCCATGGCCAAGTGGCTCCCAAAGCAAGTTTCATTTTCTGTTACAGCTTAGTTCAAAACCAAGCTTTGCTGGAAAAACCTCACTTTGGGTGTCTCTCTGATTCAGTTTGAAAGTCTTAGGCTTAATTCTTACACCTTCTGGAGCACTGGACCAAGGTGTCCCTGGACGAGCTCACCAGCTGTCTCCAGCAGGGATCTCAACACCCTCCGACCAGCACTTCTTAACCACGTCTTCTCGGCAGGCCTCGCCAGGAGGAGGCGTCTTCAGACTGCCTGAGTGCTCCAGGTCCACTCTGGACGGGACGCTACGCTGCCGACTTCGAAGGTCAAGTGTCATGGTTTGTTCGGATGATGGCACGTGATTTGCTGGAAAGCAACAGGGATGTAGGGGAGAAGCACCTTCCTAAGTGGAGGACGGGAATGCCACGTCCTGGCAGACAGACATGCACCCAGGTCGGGGCAGCAGGGAAGCACTCCCCTGGACACAGATCAGACTCTCACGTGGCCTCCAAGTCGCCCTTCAAGGGAACCTTCCTTCATGCGAGGGGGTGCAACACCACCAGCAACTCAACTCAAACACGGAACCTGCCCAGTAAAAACGAAAGAACAAAAGAAGCTGACAAAGGGGTGAGAGGCACAACTCCAACAGGGCAGGAAGCCATGGGGACACTGCATAACACTCGGAGCACGGCCAATGTTCTGCAAGAACTACAAATGGAGCATAACCTTCAAAAACCATGTATCACTATACTGCACAGCTGAAGCTCACACAATACTGTACATTAATATACTTTAACAAAAAAAACCAGCTAGGAACATCTAGACTCACCCTCCATCCTCTGAGGGAAGGTAAAGGGGGGTGGAGACCGAGTTAATAACGAACTACACACTTGATGAAGCCTCCAGAAAAACCTGAAGTCTGTGGGGTCAGGAGAGCCTCTGGGCTGGTATGAGAGGTGCGAGCTGGGCAACCGCAGGCCCCCCTCCACAGGGCAAAGCTTCGGAGCCTGGAAGCCCTCCACACCCCACTGCTCATCTGCGTCCCTAAAGAGGGATGGGGAACCACAGGGGGTGGGAGGTTGGCCCCAGCACAGCCACAGAGGCCCCTGAAGCGGGCTGGGGGCCACCTGGAGAGCGCTCACTCCCCAGATGCTCTGCCGGCCCAGGCCTGAGAGCTCCCCACCGTGAGGTGAGGCCCCTCACCCAGGCTTTCTCCAACTCCCTCCCAGCTCTAAGGTGCCCACATCTAGGGGGCGGGCAGCTTCCCCACACGGATGTGGGCTCCCTGCCAAGTCACCCGCCTCCCACCTGGCCTCCTCAGGCACGGCTCTGCTTGCTCACCACTGCTCTGAGACACGTGTGCCCTCTAGTGATGGATTCAACCACCAGTCAGAACCAGCCCAGGGAACGGTCTGCTCCAGAAGAGGACTGAGAAACAACAAGAGCGGGGAGACCAGACAGCGTAAACAAGACAAAGGCAGGTCAAAGGCGCAGGCAAGAGAAGGTGCAGAGCATGCAGGGCCCCGAGCACACAGCCGCCCAGGGCCGGGGGCCGGCAGCACTTCAGACGGGAGCGGCCGCCTCCCGCGCGCCGAACCCAGGCTCGGCTCTGCCTCACTTCGCAAGATGAAGACATGCGAGGACTTCTGGGAGGGCGCCAACCTTCTGTGGACGGCTGTGCAGACCTGCTCCCAGCACGGCGCCAAGGGGCTGCTGAGACACGAGCCCTGCGTCACCTGCAGTCTCATTGCCTCGTGGCTTTTCCAGGACAGCCGGGGCTTGCCTGGTGCACCACATGGGGCCTGGACGCATTCCCTGTGTCACCACACGGACGCGCACGTGGCCTCTCCTCTCACCCAGAACTGAGAGCACCCAGGGCCGTCCCAGCCGTAAATCGTGCGCGGACACACACATCAGCGCCACTTCTCCAGCGGGGCTACATGACAGGAAGCCGACGCCCACGACATCGACACAGATGAGGGTTAAACAACAAAGGCGTCTGACCAGGCTCTCGTCTCTGAGAGGAGAGACAGCCACACACATTCGGGATCATTCCAGCTCCCACCTGGCCGGGGACCCAGGCTGGAGGTCGTACCCGCGAAGGCTCTGTCCCAGCCTTAAAGCAAGTTGTCTCTGAGGGACTCCCGGACCCAGGCTCAAGAACAGGCGGCACAGACCCATGGCGGCAGCGGCCAGACAGCGGCTGCCTCTCGGGATGGGGGGGCGCTTTCCAGGAGAGAAGGGATCTGAGCTGTGCGCAGGTCACGCCCCTGATGACCACTGTCAGAACTCAGCGCACTTCAGGTCTGTGTACGCACCAACTGCTAAGTACATCCTGATTTAAAAGACATATGTCAGAGTCAGGAGACGAGTGAACTTAAACCTAGACTGCACCCTCCGAAGGATGTGTCCTCTAAGATGGAGAAGGATGCTGTCACGACATCAACTCCAAATACAGTCTTATCGCCCCCGAACCAGGAAAGAACGTCGCCCGGCTCCAGCAGTGTCTGAACAGGTCGGGGACGAGGGCGGGCCTGACTCCCTGATGGCCTCGGATGGACTCCCAGGGTCCGCGGGGACTGGGCTTGCTGCTCCGTGGCTGGTGTGGACCCCACCAGGGCCAGGCTGGCACCGGGGCATGGCCGCCCCGGGGCTGGAGACACTGACGCCCTGTTCCCGTGGCGTGGGCTCACTGCACACCCTGACCTCCTAAGACCACACTGGGCATCCCTGCCGGGTGCCCCGGCAGCAAGGAGCTCAGAAGCGTGGAGACTGCGGCACCCCCGCAGGGACGCCGCCTGGGCCTCCTCGCTGGGGCTCCTTTGGGGTTGCCCAGCCTTGATACCCCTCCATACTCAATGGCCATGTCTGAGCTCTGCGGTCACACTCGGGCTCTCTCGTTAGGTATGTGACTCACAGTTCACTGTCTCCTGAAGCCCTGCCAGCCCCTAGGAGCGAGGTCGCGGTCATGCGCACACACCTTGCCCCAGGGGGCCTCCTCCGGCACCTGTGCCCACACTGGCCCCGCAGCCCTCTCCCCGTGGGGCAGCCACAGCCCTGCCCCATGAGGGGCTGCACGCACCTCAGTGGTCCCGATGCCACCACCTCTGGAGGCCACTCCTGACTGTTCTGGGTCTCGATTGCCATCTGGGCGCGTCAGTGACAGAGCATTCCCATTTCCTCTCTAAAAATGAACTAGCTATTGATTTTCAGGATGAGTTATTATATATATTCAGATAACATACTGTCACATAATTTAGGGTAGAAAAAAGACCATCCATTTACATAGTTTCCAATAGAAATGCACATATTCTTTCAATTCATTTGGTCAGAGCCCAACAAATCCCTTCCACCTGGAGAAACGGCAGGAGGACGTCCCCGCAGTCCAGCGGTCAGGACTCAGTGTATCACTGTGGTGGCCTGGGTCCCACCCCTGGTTGGGCAGCGAAGACCCCCCAACCCTAACCCCGGGAGCCATGCAGCACGGCCAAGAAAACAGACGAAAAGCCCAGAGGAAGAGAGAGGACAGATGCACAGTGCTGCTCGTGAGCCCGTCACACGCGGGCCAGGACTGCCGGAGAGCTGTCCTCAGGCAGGAGCGCACGCCAGGCCCGCAGGACTGTGAGCTGCACACAGCAGGAGCTGAACCTCGCTTCAGAGTCGAGCACAAGTGATTTCCGATGGTCTCCACCCCGCACTCCTGGGCTCCTCTCTGCCAGCCGCAGCGGGTGCTGATCCGTGAGAAACAGCATTACTGCCCTTTTCTTCCCAAGATTTTAAAGGACTTTATACACTCCAACAGCACAAGAGAGAGGAGACAGCCGGAAACTGAGTTAGAGCCTGGCCAGAGGCACAGCAAACCTCGAGAGGAACATGGGCACCGCCGCACCACGTAAGGAAACGGGATGCGGGCGAGCAGCCGGCATGTCCTCAGGGCAGCGTCCCCGGACCCCCAGACCCAAGCCTGCACGCAGCCTGCTCCTCTGTTAGGTGGGCACACGCAGGCAGGGCGGCCCAGCAGGGCAGCCTCACCGCGGGTCACTTACCCACGCTTTCTTCACCTCTTCCGGGACTTCCGTTTCATCTTCCTGGAAAGGCAGGAGGAAGAAAAACAAGCGGTCACGGTCGCAGGCAGCCCTGGCGGCACCAGAGAGCCCCGTCAGCATGCACCTGGGCAGGGAGGGCTGGCGGCCAAGGGGGCCGTCGCTGTGGCCTCAGCAGTGCCTCGGGGTGCCCCCTGCAGCCCGAGCAGAATGCCCGGGCGGGCGGGAAGAGGAGAACCCGAACTCCCTCGGGCTCTGCCGCCAGTGGATCCGTCCGTTCCCATAGCGACTGGACGCTCACACCCACCACTTCTGACAGCGACCACCACCGCCCCTCTTCCCACCTCACTGAACCGACCATCTAGTTCCAAACAGGTCACGGTGACTGGGGACCTGACCCCGGCCCCTCGGGTTGTAAATGCCAGGGGCAGGCTGAGCCAGCAGGCAGAGGCCAGCGGGGAGAAGACGTATGGAGCCCTGTCCTCACTCAGAGTCAAGCAGTGTTACCTCACCTGCTCTTTTTTCTCCTTCGGAAGAGTAAACCTGAGTCAGACGACACTCAAGAGCCCTGGGATCCTCGGCCAACCTCGCGCGCTCGGAGACGCCGGGGTGCTGACTCCCCGCGCGCCCTCGGGGCCCCAGCGGCTCCATTGCACGCTTGTGCGCCTGCTCTATCTGTCTGCCTGCACTCGCCCCGCCCTCGCCCCCTGCCCGCGCGCTTGGCACTGCCCTGGGTGCCAAGCCAGAGCCTCCCAGACGAGCCTGCGCCCCTGCAGTCTGTCTTTCTCGTGACGCGTCCTGACATGCAGGGCTCGCAGCGCCAGGTGGGACTCTTGCATCCACACAGGACGGCGGGCAGAACACACGGTGCGCAGCACACACGGGCCACTTACATCCTTCGTCCAGAAGTTGATGCCCGTGCCCCGCCGCCGCTCCCGGGGCCGCCGCCTCTCGCGGATGGACAGCCGGCCGGAGGGCTGGTCGCCTGGCTCTGCTGCTTCGCCCTCTGCTCAGGGAGACAAGGCACGGGTCTTAGGGGCCCGGGGCACGCGCACTGGAGGGCCTGCACTTTCCAAAGCCCAACCTACCGTTTGTGTCCATGTGCCGCGGCCCGGCAGTGCCTGTGGGGGGCTCTGAGCTCTGCGAGTCGGGGGCGGAGGACCCACCGGTCTGGAGCAGGTGGGAGCTGGCGTAGAGAGAGGGTCTCGGGGCGGGAGGGGGCGCTGGCGCTGTGGGCTGGTCGGGCTGAGCTGGACACCGCAGGGGAGGGTACACTGGCTAGAACAACCCACAGGGTGAGACGTCAGAGGTCAAGTTCAACGAGAGCGTAGGGACAGCATGTTTATTAAAAATGGGCTTTTCTATATCAAGAGGCTTATATGCAGTTAACCAGCCAGAAAGGAAACAGGTCCGAACTCCTCCTACGCTGACAACACTGCCAGGCTGACAGCAGCCCAGAAAAGTTCCCCCTAAACTGATCGAAGGGCACCAGGAAGCAGAGACTCGCTAACACGACCACTGTGCTTCTACAAAGCAAACAGGAAGGATGCTGGCCCTCGGAAGGTGGGGCTCTGAAAGGCAGGGCATATGGGAAAATAAGCTCAGGAATAGGAAAAAAAACAAGGTAAGAGTCATCTAAAAACAGATCACATCTGGACCTTCTGCCAATTTCTGAGCCTTCTATCAACTTGACATAACCAGGCTTACTGACACTTTAAAAAACTCTCACTTTCTGGGACTTCCCTGGTGGTCCTGCATTAAGACTGCACTTCCACTGTAAGGGGTGCGGGTGTGATCTCTGGTTGGAGAACTAAGATCCCGCATGTGCACCTCACCCCCAAAACAAAAGCAAAAAATAATAATTCCCCTTTTCCCCTTTGAACTTTTTTTCCTTGAGAGTTAGGACAGAGCTTCACAATAAACCTTAACATTTATTTTTTGAAGTGGTTTGTTGAAGATGCAGAGATAAAGAAATTCTCACCACATGCAGAGATTGTCTGGTTCTTTGTTTATAAGTTATAGAGACAGAAGTAATGAGATACAGTCAGTTTGGGAGCCTGACAAGACGTGGCTCAAATTCTAGCTTCGGCACAAATGAGTGGCATGACCTAAGTAGGTGACTCGAGTTCTGAGTCTCCACTTCTCCTTCATAAAACAGGGAAAACAAGCTCTTCCTCAGAGAGGCCTGAGAGGCCTGGATGAGATCCTGTGTGCCATGTGCTGGGAACTGAACCCTGTATGTAGTAAGTGCTCAAAAAACAGTGGCTGATAAAACAACGGGATAAACAATACGACCTTGGTTACCTAAAGAAAGAGCAGGATGACTTCTTTTCCTGCAACCATGATCAACATAAAATTTATCATCCCAACAGGGGCATTTCTGGGCATGAAAAGGAATGGTATTGACAATCACCCTGAGATAAAAGGCGTCGCTGGAACAATCTTCAGTGAACCAGGAGCTATGCTCACCCTGAACAGGATCCCACACCTCTGACTGCTCTTGCACTAGAGGGCTGACACGCACGGCAGGACATCCACCCGCAGCGCAGGGAGGGGGTGGGCCATGGCTCAGTGCCCGCGCCACCTCTTCTTTCAAATCCTTCACTGGTGTCTGGCCGCACCATGCGGCTATGGGCTGTGGGATCGCAGCTCCCGGCCAGGGCTGAAGCCGGGCCCCCCAGGGCCAGCGCAGCCTCCTACCTACTGGGCTGCCAGGGAACCCCTCTGGCTCTCCTGAGATGCCCAGCAGGGTGCTGAACATGCACCCACAGCCTCGGTGTAAGAAGGACTGGTACTTACCTCAGGGGGCTGTGCCGAGGACTGAACAGTTTCATACATGTGACACAGCTGAAGCAGGGCCGGGCATAAAGAGTAATAAATGCTTATATTTCTACCTACATTTTATTATATCGAGACCTCTCTTTTCAGAGCTGAAAGACATTCACGTTCGTTAACCAAGCTCACGGTGGTGACCGTTTCACAGAGCACACGCACGTCGAGGCGTGCTGCAGCCTAACCTGTCCAGTATGCCTCAATAACACTGGAAAAAAGCACATTAGTTACACCTCAGAGGAAACAACGGTCACTTAAGGACTAATGTCCTCTGAGTTCTTTCAGTTACACAGGCCCGCCAACCACAGATGGATGTAAACAGGCTTCCTGGGGGGGGTCCACTGCAAAGCAGCAAGCACTGACTCCCCGTGAGCAAGAGCCCCCCGGCCGCCCCCTCGACCCTGCTCTGACCCCACGGGCGCTCACCTCTCCCTCCGGGCTCCGGACCCAGGGCTGATGGCTCTCCCCGGCGTCCTGGGCAGGGGCTAAAAAATAATAATTCCCCTTTTCCCCTTTGAACTTTTTTTCCTTGAGAGTTAGGACAGAGCTTCACAATAAACCTTAACATTTATTTTTTGAAGTGGTTTGTTGAAGATGCAGAGATAAAGAAATTCTCACCACATGCAGAGATTGTCTGGTTCTTTGTTTATAAGTTATAGAGACAGAAGTAATGAGATACAGTCAGTTTGGGAGCCTGACAAGACGTGGCTCAAATTCTAGCTTCGGCACAAATGAGTGGCATGACCTAAGTAGGTGACTCGAGTTCTGAGTCTCCACTTCTCCTTCATAAAACAGGGAAAACAAGCTCTTCCTCAGAGAGGCCTGAGAGGCCTGGATGAGATCCTGTGTGCCATGTGCTGGGAACTGAACCCTGTATGTAGTAAGTGCTCAAAAAACAGTGGCTGATAAAACAACGGGATAAACAATACGACCTTGGTTACCTAAAGAAAGAGCAGGATGACTTCTTTTCCTGCAACCATGATCAACATAAAATTTATCATCCCAACAGGGGCATTTCTGGGCATGAAAAGGAATGGTATTGACAATCACCCTGAGATAAAAGGCGTCGCTGGAACAATCTTCAGTGAACCAGGAGCTATGCTCACCCTGAACAGGATCCCACACCTCTGACTGCTCTTGCACTAGAGGGCTGACACGCACGGCAGGACATCCACCCGCAGCGCAGGGAGGGGGTGGGCCATGGCTCAGTGCCCGCGCCACCTCTTCTTTCAAATCCTTCACTGGTGTCTGGCCGCACCATGCGGCTATGGGCTGTGGGATCGCAGCTCCCGGCCAGGGCTGAAGCCGGGCCCCCCAGGGCCAGCGCAGCCTCCTACCTACTGGGCTGCCAGGGAACCCCTCTGGCTCTCCTGAGATGCCCAGCAGGGTGCTGAACATGCACCCACAGCCTCGGTGTAAGAAGGACTGGTACTTACCTCAGGGGGCTGTGCCGAGGACTGAACAGTTTCATACATGTGACACAGCTGAAGCAGGGCCGGGCATAAAGAGTAATAAATGCTTATATTTCTACCTACATTTTATTATATCGAGACCTCTCTTTTCAGAGCTGAAAGACATTCACGTTCGTTAACCAAGCTCACGGTGGTGACCGTTTCACAGAGCACACGCACGTCGAGGCGTGCTGCAGCCTAACCTGTCCAGTATGCCTCAATAACACTGGAAAAAAGCACATTAGTTACACCTCAGAGGAAACAACGGTCACTTAAGGACTAATGTCCTCTGAGTTCTTTCAGTTACACAGGCCCGCCAACCACAGATGGATGTAAACAGGCTTCCTGGGAGGGGTCCACTGCAAAGCAGCAAGCACTGACTCCCCGTGAGCAAGAGCCCCCCGGCCGCCCCCTCGACCCTGCTCTGACCCCACGGGCGCTCACCTCTCCCTCCGGGCTCCGGACCCAGGGCTGATGGCTCTCCCCGGCGTCCTGGGCAGGGGCTGCCAGGGGCTCGAGCTTCCGGGGACCAGCCTCGAGCGCTGCGGGGACCCCGGGCTTCAGGCTGGGCTGCTCCTGAGCCTGACGCTCCACTCTCGACCGGCTGAACGTCCTTTCCGCCTCCTGGAGGTCCGTGAGGGTTACGCCCTAGGAAGACACCGCGCGGTCAGAGAGGCTGCAGCCTAACCAGACACCTGGCCGTGAGGGAGCAGGGAAGCTCCTCAAAGTATCCTCTAATGGCACCTGGTTCCAAACAGCTCCCAACAGGTGTGAGGCCGTCTGCAGCTAATACACGCTGAACACAAACGCCCGGGTGTGCAGAGGCCCCGGGCCTGGGCCCAGGCGCACGCAAACGCAGCCCTCCAGCGTCGCCTGCTTGAGCTCCACGAACACCCCTTGCCGCTTCCACACCCATGCACTCACGGCTCCTCGGGGCCCTCCCGACCTCAAAGAGCACGTGGGCACCAGCTGAGCCTCCCCTGCAGATCCCAGGAAGACCGGAGTGCGTGCACAGAAAGAGCCAGGCTCAACACAGGGAAGAGTCAGTCAGGCTAGGACAACCACCAAACCCCAAACCACACCCACACAGACAGGCAGAGAGCCGACGAGAGGGGCCGGCAGGGACGGTGGAGCACGGAGACCCTGAGCAGAGCCCCCCAGGGCTCACCAGGACGAGCACTGTGACGGGGGCGGCCAGCAAGGGTCTGCCACTGCTAAGGAGAGAGAAGGGGCCACAGCAAGATGGCGGAGGGGCGGCCCACCCGCGGCAGAGTGACTAGCCACAGAGGTTAGGTCAGCACCACGGTGGGACCCTCCCTCTGGCCCACTGCCTTCAGCACCTGGCCCCCAGCAACACACACAGGGCGGGAGGCCTCAGGCCCAGCCACCAGCCAGGCGGGGACACGCCCCACCCCTCCCCAGCAGACAGGCTGTCTGACCAGCCCTCGAGCCCACGGCGGCCCCTGCACAACCAGCCCCACACACCAACACGCAGGCACTGGATAGGGACGCAGGGACCTGCCCCCGTGGACCCTGGGGCCCAGGTCCACCTACCAGTGGGCAGACTCCAGACCCAGACACGCCTGGAGCCCGGCCCTGTCCACGAGCAGGCTGTACTAGCCACGAGACCAGCCTCACACACCAGTGGGTGCACATCAGCCCCAGGACAACTGTAGGCCACTGCCTGCCATGGGCTGACCTGGTCCACCCATCTGCAGGCTGGCCCAGTCCACCACCTGTCATGGGCTGGTTCAGTCCACCACCTGCAGGCCGGCACCAGCCCCAGGATTTCCTGCACTAACTCCCTCACCAGTGAGCCAGCAGCAGCCCCAGGGTCCCCCACAGCCCACACAGGGGGCACCCCTAGAGCATGGAGCTCTGCTGATCACAGTGGGGTGTACTGCTGGCATGCATAGGCACTTCCTATGAAAGGCCACTTCTCCAAGATTGGGAAAACAGAACCAACCTGCTAGATATGCAGAAATAAAAACAGCAAGTTAGGCAAAGTGAGGCAAAAGAACATGTTCTAAATGAAGGAACAAGATAAAACTCCAAAAACAACTAGGTGAAGCAGAAACAGGCAATCCACCTGAGAAAAAGATCAAGGCAATAACTGTAAAGATGATCAAACTCAAAAAAGAATGAGCAGGTTTTAACAAAGAGTCAGAAAATACAAAGAACAACCAGAGATGAAAACTACAATTAAAACGGAAATGCACTAGAAGGTATCAAGAGCTGACCAAGTGATACAGCGGAACAGACCAGTGAGGGAAAAGACAGAGTGGAGATCACTACACTGAACAGAACAAGGAGAAAGTACAGATAAATAAAGGAGGACAGGTTTAAGAGACCTCTAAGACAACATCAAATGCACTAACATTCACACTATAGGAGTCCCAGAAGGAGAAAAAGAGAAAGGGGCCACAGAACACATTTGAAGACATAACAGCTGGAAACTTCCCCAACCTGGGAAGAGAAACAGACATCCAGGTCCAGGAAACAGAGTCCCAATCAAGAATAACCCAAAGAGGACTATACCAAGACACTTCGGAATTAAATCGGCAAAAGTTAGAGATGAAGAGAGAATATTAAAAGCACCAACAGAAAAGCAACCAGCTATAAACAAGGGAACTCCCATAGCTATCAGCTGACTTTCAGCAAAAACTCTGCAAGACAGAAGGAAATGGAACGATATATTTAAAGCGATGAAAAGGAAAGGCCTGCAATCAAGAATACCCTCCCCAGCGAGGCACTCATTTGGATTGGATGAAGAAAGCAAAAGTTTTATACACAAGCAAAAGCTAAAACAGTTCAGCACCACAAAACCAGCTTTACAAGAAATGTTACAGGGATTTCTCTAAGCAAAAGAAAGGAAAAAGGTCACAACTAGAAACATGAGAACTACAAAAGGAAAAATCTCGCTGGCAAAGACAAATACACAGTAAAGGAATTATCAGTAAATCAACCAGGTACAAAGCTAGGGGGCTTCCCTGGCAGCTGAGATGGTAGAACATCCACCTGCAATCTGCAAGACCTGGGTTTGATCACTGCGGACAGGTTAAAAGACAAACTAGTAAAATCAACTATATCCACAATAAGCAGTTAAGGGATACACAAAATGAAAGGATATAAAATATGATGTCAAAAACAGTAATCTGGGAGGGGAAAGAATGAAAAATGCAGGGTTATTAAAATCCTTCTTGAAATTAAAGAGATCAACAACTTGAAATAATCACATATATATGTATATATACTGCTATATACAAACCTCAAGGTAATTACAAACCAGGAAACCACAACAGATGCACACACAAAACAGGGAAACAAGTCCAAACATAACACTAAAGAGTCATCAGATCATAAGGGACGAGGACAAAAGAGGAAACAGACAAAAGAACTACAAAAAGAATCTCAAAGCACAACAGAATGACAGCAAGTACATGCAAAGCAATAACTACTGTAAATGTAAATGGATTAAATGTTCCAGTCAAAAGAGAGAGTGGCTGAATACACTCTGACACAAAACAAGGCCCACGTGTGTATATATAAACTGCTGACAAGAGACACACTTCAGACCTAAAGATACGCAGACTGAAAGGAAGGAGAATGAGAAAGGTATCTGATGCAAATGGAAATCAAACGAAAGCCAGGAAACCATACTTATGTCAGAAAAATATACTTTAAGGGAAAGGACATAATGATCAAGGGATGAATCCAAGAAGACACAACAATTATAAATACATATGCACTCAACATAGGAACACCTAAATGAGTAAGGAAAATAATAAAAGACATAAAGGAAGGAATCAACAGCAAGACAACAACAGGAGGGGCTTTAACCCCCACTTACGTCGACGGACAGTGACCCACACAGGACATCAGCAAGGGGACACTGACCAACATGCCACATCAGACCAGATGAACTTAGTCCGTTCTAAAGCAGAATACACATTCTTTTCAAATGCACATTGTCCAGGAGAGATTTGTATTACTTAACACAAGTCACAGTAAATTTAATAAAGCTGAAATCACATCAAGCATCTATTACAACCACAAACCTATGAGACTAGAAATCAACTACAAAAAAGAAAAAAACCCTGCAAAACCCACAAACACACAGGTGCTAAACAATATGCTCCTGAGCAACCAACTGATCCCTGAAGAGATCGAAGTATACCTGGAGACAAATGAGATGAAAACACAACGTTCCAAGACCTTCGGGATGCTGCAAAGGCAGTTCTAAGAGGGATATTAGTAGCAATACAAGCCTACTTCAGGATACACAGAAAACCTCACGCAACCTAGCCCTAACCAAAAGAATTAGAAAAAGAAGACTGCACAAAATCCAAAGTTAGCAGACAGCAAGGAGATCAAACCACTACATCCAAAAGGAAATCAACCCTAAATATTCATTGGAAGGACTGATGCTGAAGCTCCACAACTATGGCCCCCTGATGCCAAGAGCTGACTCACTGGAAGAGACCCTGATGCTGGGAAAGACTGAAGACAGGAGAAGAGGGCAAGAGAGGATGGGACGCTTGGATGGCACCACTGACTCAATGGGCAGCACCTGGGCAAACTCCTGTAGGTGGTGAAGGACAGGGAAGCCTGCCCACGGACTGCAGAAAGCTGGAGGTGACTGAGCCACCGAACAACAACAACAAAGTCCGCAGAAGAACCGCAGTGATTAGAGTGGAAATAAATGAGGTCAAACAGGAACGAACAGTGATCAGATCAACGACATTAACCCGGTTCTTTGAAAAGATAAAAGAAAACTGACAAACCTTTGGCAAGGGTCATCCAGAAAGAGAGAGCCCAAATCAATAGTCAGAAAAGCAGTTACAACTGACACTACAGAAATACAAAAGACAATAAGAGGCTGCTATGAACAATTATATGCCAATAAGAAGAACCACCTAGAAAAATGGACACATTTCTAGAAATGACAATCTAAACCAGTGAGATAAAAAATATGGACTGATCAATTAACAGTAATGAAACTGAATCAGTAATAATAATAAAAGCTCCCCACAAACAGAAGTCCAAGACCAAACAGTTTTACAAGTGAATTCTACAAAACATTTAGAGAAAACACCTATCCTTCTGAAATGCTTCCAAAAAACTGAAGAGTAAGGAATGCTTCTGAACTCATTCTCTGAGGCCAGTATCACCTCAATACCAAAACCAGACAGGTATAACACAAAAAAAGAACATTATAGACTGAAATCCCTGATGAACATGGATGTAAAAACTGTCAATTAAATATGAGCAAACTAAACCCAGTGAGCACTAAAAAGGTCGAACACCGTGACCTCTCTTCATGGGCCACGGCTCGCTGTGGCAAAGGGGCCTGTGCAAGGCCGTGGCGCACGGGCCACACCCTGCAAGGCCACGCAAGACAAGCGGGCCTCAGCGGGGAGCTCTGACCACACACGGCCCACTGGAGAAGGAAATGGCAGTCCACTCCAGCATTCTTGCCTGGAGAAGCCAGGGGCAGTATGAAAAGGCAAAAAATATGATTCTGGAATATGAGCCCCCAGGTCGAGAAGTCCGCTGTGCTGCTGGGCAAGAGCAGAGGGCACTACCCACAGCTTGGGAAGAACGAGGCGCTGGCTGCTTGCGATTACACAGCAGGGGTCACGGACAGACTCAAGGGACCAGGCCTGAGAGGGGGCCTGGGGAGCTGCAGACGGAGGTCTGCAAGACTGTATGGGAAGCAGTGACCAAAACCTACCCAAAGAGAAAGAAACACAAGAGGGCAATGTGGCTGTCTGAGGCGGCTCACAGATATCTGAGAAGAGAGGAGAAAAGCGAGGGAGAAAGGGAAAGAAGCCCCAACTGCATGCAGAGTCCCACAGAACTGCAAGGAGAGATAAGAGACTTTTTAAATGAACAGTGCAAAAAAAAAAGAACAGCGCAAAGAGACAGAAGAAAACAATCAGGTGGGAAAGACTAGAGACCTCTTCAAAACAGCTGGATATAGCACAGAAACATTTCACACAAGGACAGGCACAGTAAAGGACAGAAATGGAAGGCCCTGAGAGAAGAAGCAGAGATTAAGAAGAAGTGGCAAGAAGTGACACAGAAAAACTACACAAGAAAGGTCTCAATGACCCAGATAACCACGACGGTGTGGTCACTCGCCTAGAGCCAGACATCCTGTAGCATGAAGTCAAGTAGGCCTCAGGAAGCATCACTATGAGCAAAGCTAGTGGAGGTNAAGAAGAGAGTGAAAAAGCTGGCTTAAAATTCAACATTCAATAAACTAAGATCCCGGCATCTGGTTCCATCACTTCATGGCAAATAGAAGGGGAAAAAGTGGAAACAGTGTCAGATTCTATTTTCTGGGCTCCAAAATCACTGCAAAGTGCAGTGACTGCAGCCATGAAATTCAAAGACGCTTGCTCCTTGGAAGGAAAGTTATGACAAACCTAGTCAGTGCATTCAAAAAGCGGAGATATCAGTTTGCTGATAAAGGTCCACAGTCAAAGCTACGGCTTCTCCAGTAGTCATGTGAGAGTTGGACTGTAAAGAAGGCTGAGCGCCAAAGAACTGATGCTTTCGAACTGTGGTGCTGGAGAAGACTCTTGAGAGACCCCTGGACTGCAAGGAGATCCAACCAGTCCATCCCAAAGGAAATGAGATGGTTAGATAAAAATCACTGACTTCAATGAACATGAATTTGAGCAAACTCCAGAGACAGGGCAGGACAGAGGAGTCAGGCAGTTCTGCAGTCCATGGGATCACAAAGATTTGGACTTACAGACTGAATAACAACAACTAATAATACTATGACCCAGTGGGACTTATCCTGGGCATATAAGGAAGACTTAGTATCTACGTATCAATGTGATAGACACCACATTAACACATTGAAGAATAAAAACCGTATGATCATCTCTGTAGAGGCACAAAAAGCTTTCAACAAAATCCAACATCCATTTATGATATAAAAAAAATTCTTCAGAGAGTGGGGATAGAGAAAACACACCTAAACATAATAAAGGCTACACATGAGAAGCCTCGAGCGAACACCATGCTCCACAGTACAGTTCTGAAAGCATTTCATCTACGATCAGGAACAAGGATGCCCACTCTTGCCACTTTTATTCAACAGCATATTGAAGTCCTAGCTATAGGAGTCAGACAGGAAAAATAAAGGAATCCACACTGGGAAAGAGTAAGTACAGCTGTCAGAGTGTGTGGATACCATGGTCCTATACACGGAAAATCTTAACGATGCCACCTAAAGCCACCAGAGCTCGTGAATCCGGTAAAGGCACAGGATATACAATTAACAAGAACCAAGGCAGAAACACGGAGAAGGGAACGGCAACCCCTTCCAGTGTTCTTGCCTGGAGAACCCCGGGGATGGGGGAGCCTGGCGGCCTGCCGTCCACGGGCTCGCAGAGTCGGACACGACTGAGCGACTAAACAAGATGGAGACACATGGTCCAGCCTGTTCTACTTCTGGGTCTTTATCTGAAAGGTGCAAAAGCAGGGACTGAAGAGTTATGTGCACGTCCATGTTCACAGCAACACTGTCCACGGCAGCCAAACGGTGGGAGCAACCCAAGTCTCCATCAAGGGGTGACGGACGAACAGAGTGTGCTGTGGACACAATGGAACCCTGGTCAGCCTCACGAGGGAAGGCGGTTGTGACGTGAGCTACATCAGGGACACGCAATGCAACCCTGGTCAGCCTCACGAGGGAAGGCGGTTGTGACGTGAGCTACGTCAGGGACACGCAATGCAACCCTGGTCAGCCTCACGAGGGAAGGCGGTTGTGACGTGAGCTCTGACGTGAGCTACGTCAGGGACACGCAATGCAACCCTGGTCAGCCTCACGAGGGAAGGCGGTTCTGACGTGAGCTACGTCAGGGACACACTGTGAGTGAGACAAGCTGTCAGCAAAGGACAGAAGCCGTGACTCCACTCACACGGGTCAAGATCACAGAGAGAAGGCGCAGAACGGGGCTGCTGGCAGCTTGGGGAAGAAGGCAGTGTTCGGGGGGTTGAGAGGTTCAGTTTGGAAGATGAAAGTCATTCTGGAGATGGATGGCTGTAAAAAAATGTGAATGTCTTTACTGTCAACGAACTGTTTGCTTAAAAATGGCTAAAATATTAAGCTGCGCATTACATATGTTCTTCCACAATAAACCCAGACAAACGACAGCCAGTCTGGTCCTCTTGGGGTTACGTCCTCTGGGGAAAGGAACCGCCGCTGAGCACGGGCAGTCGCAGCTGTGACAACGCCGGCTCCGGAGGGCGCTGCCTGGCCCCGGGGGGGTCCGTCCGTCCTCAGCCTTCCTGCTCTGCATCTTTGGCATCTGAAACTGCGGGGCTTCCCCGCCCCCTGGGAACGGCCGTCTCACCTCTCTGGACCACCGCCTTCTGACCCCTCGCCCTCTGCTGGCCCGGCTCACCCTCCTCTGCCTCCCTGACGCCCAGCCACAGCCCCTGTCCATGGTGCTGCCACACGCCCACGGCCCCGCTCAGCCAAGGGGCAGCTGCCCACGCGCCTCCAGGGTTCTGAGACATCCCACCAGGTCTCAGCGACCCTTGCGAGATGTTCCTCACCGCAATGCCTCCCCCCTTAGAGCTCTTTCCTTTTGTAACATCTCCAGCGAAACACACGCCGCACACCATAAAGCCCACGCGTGCAGGCAACACGCACTGTCTCAGAACCCGCACCCGGCGTCAGGGACGCCCCACACCCTCAGGGTCGCATCTCGTCCCCCCATCTCTCCAGCCTTCGGCAAACACTCATCTACTTCCTCTTCTCTGCCAGTTCTGGACACTTTCATGCAAATGGAATCATGCCCCGTTTCTTTCACCCAGCATAACTTTTTCTTAAGGTTCATCCGCATTGTAGTATGTGCATGTTTTAGGACTTCATTTCTTTTTATTGCCAACAATATTCCTTGACTATGGAACATTTTGTTCATCCATTCATGAATCAACAGAAACTTGTGTGGTTTTTCAAGTTTTGCTAACTGCTTAATTTGTTTAGTCCATGCAACAGCCCAGCTTGGGCCCACCACCCACACCTGCTGGGGGCCGCTGGGCGCCCCCGCTCCCCAGCGCTGACCTGCTACTCCTAAGGGTCCAGGGCTCAGCCCTACAGCCACCGTGCATGCTTCACACGGAAGGCTGGTCTACGCAGTAAGCAAACTCCAGCCAGGGGAGACCCTGAAGGCGGGTTTCTGGCCCCGAGAATAATGCTGTTATGAACATCTGTGTAGGAGCTTCTCTGTGGACGCCCGCCTCCCCCTCTCTGGAGGGCACAGCCACGAGCAGCACGTGGGCCCCACGGTCACTGTGGTGAGCACTGAGCTCCTCCTGCAGGAACGAAACGGGGCCTTAGCACAGTGAAGTGATTAGGCTTAAGGAGGAAAGAGGAGAGCCCTGCTCTGCGCCATGAAGGACAGAAGCGAGAACAGGCGTGCGTAGCTATGAGTTCGTCTGGTTCTGTGCAGTGTGAGATTTCACACGAGAGCTTTTGCCGCAGTGGCTGAAGAAGGCACTCGGTTTATCGTTTTTTAACTGTACTTCCAGTGCGACGGCAGACAGACCGAACGATCTGAAGCACGGAGGCCGCACTCACTTGGGTAGACCTTCGAGTCTGCCGAGCCTGTCTGGAGCGCGCCTTCCGCAAGGACTCTGCTTCCTCGTCCCGGACGGGAGTCAGATACGACCTGCGGGGAGAAGAGGCACACAGAAGTGAGGCCCTGGCGCACGCAGGGGCTCCCCACGCGGGCGGGCCGCACGCGCCGAGACGGGGCCGGGCTCTGCCTGTGTCGACAGCAACGGTTCTCAGACTGTTCACATCTCACATTTTAAAAAGTACTGAAGATCCCCAAACAGCGTGTGTTTATATGGGATATATCTATCAATATTTACCTTCTTAGACATTAAAATCAAGACATTAAACATGCATTTGTGAATTTATTAGAAAATGACAGCCCTATTACATGCTAATATCAATAATTTATCTTTTATGAAAACATGTTCTAAAACAAAAAAATTTACTAAGAATAGCATTACATGTTTGTAAATTTCTTTAATGTTGCCTTAATACAAGATAGGTGGATTTTCACGCACATTTCTGCATTCGATATGTGTAGTATGTTGTTTTAGCTAAAATATACAAAAATATCCGGTCCTCCAGAGATACGCAGTTGGAAAAGCAAGGAGTCTCACAGCAGCTTTTTCAGGTAACTGTGGACAGTCCTCTCTAATCATACGGTCGCACATAACTGACACAAGTGGTGACTCCTAAAGGTCAGCGGCCACGTGGAACCTGAAGCCGTCAGCAGAGCTCTCACGCCCTGTAACGCTGAAACCCAGTCGTCTGTCTTGACCTGGGATGCAACGCCTTACCCAGGCGTGGCTCTGGGGAAATACTGGTGCAGCCCTCCCAAATGCGAACACATTTCATCACGCAATAGCAACCTGAAAAACCACATTTTCTACCACACTCTCCTTGACATCAGTCTTGGCAATGACGTTCTGACACCAAATGCAAAACGAACATATGGGACTTCATCAAGCTTCCTGCTTCTGCACAGCAGAGGACACCAGCATCTGGACAAAAAGGCCACTGAACGGGAGGAGACGCTCGCAAGTCATGGAGCCGATACGGGGTTAACAGCCAGACCGAAGAACCCACACAACTCAACAGAAAACAAACAGTCCGATTAAAAAACGGGCAAAAGATCTGAACAGACTTTTTCCCAGGAAGAGGGACAACAGGCACATGAAAAGATGCTACACCACTAATCACCAGGGAAACGCCAGCCACAGGCACAGTGAGGGGTCACCTCACACCTGTCTGGACGGCTACCAGACAAGGAGCAACCGGTGCTGGCGAGGATGTGGAGGCGGTGTCCTCACACATCGCTGGGGGGTGTGAGCTGCGGCAGCCACTGTGGCAACAGCAGAACCAGAACTACCACGTGACCCAGCGAGTCCACTGCTGGGCACTGATCTGAAGGAAACCAAATCACCACCTCCATCTGTGCTAGATCTGCACCCACGTGCCCTACTCACACTGCCAAGACAGGTGTCATCAGCAGACCAAGTGTCTATCAACAGATGAACGGATGAAGCGAGCGTGGCAGGTGTGTATGTGCGTGTGCACACAGCAGAACACTGCTCAGTCACAAGAGGAGGAAACCTTGCCATCTGCAACAACACGGATGGGCCTTGAGGGCCCATGCTAAGTGAAGTAAGTCAGACAAAGACAAATATGGTGTGATCTTATTTGCATGAGGAATCTAAAAAACGGAGCTCACAGGTACGGAGAACAGACTGGGGTTGCTGGGGGTGGGGGTGGGCAGAGTGGGCGAGGTGCTCAGAAGGCGCAGACCTCGAGTTATAGGAGCGGTCAGTCCCGGGATGGGACACCACACGTGGGTGACACTGACCAGTGTGCACGGTGCATCCGAGACTTGCTCAGAGAGCAGACCTCAAAAGTGCTCACCACAAGGGAGAAAAGAGAGCCACGTGTGGGGACAGACGGTGATGTAGATTTATTGTGGTAATCGCTCTGTGACATACTTATCAAATCATTATGCTGTACACCAAGAAGAAAATGTTTTATTTCATCATCAATAAAAAACAATAAAATTTTAAAAACTTCACATTTTCCAATACTATCTTTGGTCTCAGAACAGTCTTTGCACATTGGGAAGCAGTGAATACTGTCACCACAGTGACAGGTACAAGTCTTCCAAAATTCTAATTTCTGCCTTAAATGTTATAATTTGCAACCAACACTCAAAATGAGCTCACTTTGCTTGTTTTCAAGAAATTGTTGGCCAAGCACTTCCGTCTGAACGGCGGGTCTGAGCATCCACTTCCCAGGAGGAAGCGGTGCTGGCTCAGGAGAGGCGGCCAGCCCCACCTCCTCTCCAGCTGCAGGTCGGAGCCCCCAGGACTCCCACCGCCCTCCGATCATGATGACTCAATCATGATGACGCTCTTCCCGGCCTTTCTGTTGTCTCTCTGGGCTGCATGCTGGGCGCTTCCTGCTGTCCAGTCTGTTTAGTTCACAAGCCCTCTCTTCAGCTGCTCTTCTACAAGTGATTTCTTAAATTTGTTACTTTATTTCAGTTCTAGAATTTACATTTTCCTAAATAGAAAGCAGTTCTCTATTGAAATTCTCTATCTTGTCTTCTATTTTCTCGAACGTGTTAACCATAATTTACCATGATTACTTTGAAGTCCAGGTCTGATACCATCAATATCTGAGTCTGTTCCTACTGTCTGTATTTTCTCTTAGTCTTTCGTAAATTAGTCTTGTTACTCAGCATGTACGGCGATTTTTGAATTAATGCCAGAATTTTTAATGAAAGAAAATCGTAACGGCTTGCAGCTCTGAAAAGCATTGCCAGAGGAGACCCTCTAGCATGGCAGTCAGGCTGAGGAAGTGGTCCCCCAACTTTCACGCAGCAGCTTCACTTGGAAGGCTGTGATTACGAACCTCACGGGGCTCCCCCCTCCACAGCACTCACTCAGCAGGTCTGGAGGGCATCCGAGAAGCTCCTGACTAGTTCTCAGGTGACCTGGTGATGTGGAGACCATACTGTGAGGAACAGGGGGCTGAGGCAAACCCTCTTAACCCACCTTGAGACTGAGCTGCTCACAAGCTAGGCTTCAGCCTCTGCAAAGCTGGCCTGGGCCTGGGAAGCCTGGCAGCCGGAAGGTGGGCCCTTGGCGGTCCCAGTGGAAGTCTAGGGGTCCCTGGGGCCCTGTTTCTGAACTCTGGCTTCTGTCCCCTGGGCGTGAGGAGCCTTGGAGCCAGCACCTCGGGGACAGCACAGCCCGGGGCAGGGTTCACCTGCTGTGACTCTCTCCAAGACCAGCGCTCACGTCCTCACCATCTCTCCAACGCCTTCAAAGGCTTCTTTTCCAGCCTCTCTGCTTATTCTCAGGGGGAGGGTTTGTCAGTTACAAGACAGGCCATAGTCTCAACAGAGGTGCTCAGCCAGGCTGCATGTTAAGAGAGATTTTCCCACCATGCGGATTAGTAAACTGGAACTGCCGTCCACCCTCAGCCCACTGTGAACACCTCCTTCCTTAGTATATTCCTCTCCTCTGGGCGCACTGGAAAAACCTGAGTCTCCAAACTTGCAAGCCATAGGCCAGTCCTGGAGTCAGTGACCACACCAAGGACTAGGCCCTCCCCGGGAAATCTGCCTGGGTGCCAGGGAGCCTCCTCACACATCACCCTCTACCTGCAAACACAGGGAACATCCTGATGACCCCTAATTCTTGACCGCCGTCTCCTCTCTGCACCCCAGACAGAGGCCACGGTGAAGGTGCACGCTGCCAACGGGCACACCTCACCACCTGTTCCAGTGACTCATCGAACAAGAGAAACGCAGCTGGTAAAAACGGCTCTGGGGAGACCTCAAGGGCCTTGCACCTCACTTGGAGTCTTAAGTGTTTGAAATCACACACGTTCTTCCCAGAAACAATCAGAAAACAGACCAACATGTGAAAACAAAACAAAGTGAATCCCACCACAGGAAGACAAGCCCATTTTTATTCTACTACACAGATGTTTAGATTTTTATCTATGTATGTATAGTCAGTACCTGTATACTATAGTCTATTTTTAATTGATATTATGTATATTACTTTGCAGTTGGGTCAATATATGAGATTTCTGCTAAGTTGTAAGGGAAAAAAAACCTATAAAAACAAACCCCAGAAAACCCTAGTACTTGATTTTAAGAGTTTCTGAGGAGGGAACGAACATCCTCATTCACTTTTGTCCACCCAGATGCGGGTTCCAGACCCACAGAAGTGAGCACCTCAATGCCTGGTCTCCCAGGGGACACACTGCGTTTTCAGTAGCACCTGAGTCCTGAATGTTCTAACCGCAGACCGGGGAGCACACTGCAGTCCTGGAGCCATGCCTGGCCACCACATTCTGTAAATCAAGTTTTACCAATGACAGCAGCAGGGTTTAGGATTTGTGACTGAAACAAAATGGCTTGCTAAGTCCAAAATACTCATCACCTGGCCTTCACAGAGAAGACCTGCCACGCCCGTGCCAGGCACACCCACGGCCAGCACAGCAGGGCGTGAGCGCGCCTGCCCGGCATGGCTCTGCAGACGGGCCTCGGCCCACAGCACACTGCAGCCACAGCTGCCCCTGCCCTGGCCTCCAGATAAAAAACAGGCTAACGTCTGCCATGCAGGGACAGAGGAAGGAATTCTGATGCCAAATCATCTAATTACCATACCTGCCTACTGCACTTCCCGGAAGGCAAGAAACATTCTACTTTGTCTGAGGTTACATGGTCAGTAGAATTCAAATACTTCGAATTAAGCAAAATAATTTGTTACAGTGCCCCTTTACATACAACACATGCACTAATTCTGTCTTAGAAAGCTGTGAAAATCATCAGTGGACATCAAGAAAGTCATAACAGTTAACAAAGGACCTAAAATACCTTCCGACAAGTTCAGTGTGGAGACAAGGACCCTAACATGGAATCAGACTGCTGGGGCTAAAACCGTGACCCCTGAGCATCTGTGCTAGACGACCCCGGACAAGATGTCTAAGCAGTCTCAGCCCGAGGTGCTCATGCAATGAGGACATTCCCGGCTGCCACTGACTCTTCATCCAGCACCAGGGCTGCTGCGAGGACCAGGGCAGGTGCCAGGGACAGCCAGGCAGGTG